AAAAAAAAAAAAAAAAAAAAAAAAAAAAAAACAATCTACTGAATTAGCTTTAAACGAAACAATTACACATGGTAACAATTTTTTTTTTTTTTTTTATTTTATTTTATTTTTCAATTCGTTGCAGTTAAACGGAGGCTCTCTTACGCATAAAACTGCGTTCTACAAACTTGCGTACATGTACATGCACAGCGTCGGGCATACGTATGCATGTCGGTATGAGCCCATGTATGTGCACACTTAACATTCGTGCGTACTGCTCACTTGGCGCGCGATCTGCTACACTTTTCGTGACGGGAACGCGTGAGGAACACGTGAGGAACACGTGGACCGAAAGAGCAATTGATAAAAATAGAGGGGAGTCAAGGTGTTGGAAATTCAAAATGGGGGAGGCGCTAAGTGGGGTGGGTACTACACGTTGTACTTCGTGGGACACTACACGCGGGGGAAGTGCTGCGGAGCGAACTGCACAGAAGTACCGTGCTCAAGTAACATATAACGTCAAGCTTATGCTTAAGCGCCTTTTCATGAATGCAACAAGAAAAAAAAAAAAACAAAAAAAGGGGGAGAACATGTGATATGTGGTATACACAAAATGAACATTCCGGATTTTTTTTTTTTTTTTTTTTTTTGTAGAGTAAGCAATGCATCACATGTGACCAGTGCTAAAAATATACATTCACAATATACACCTACATTTGTTGGACATGTCACACGGGAAGCAGCTTACCTGCGAGAGGCGCGAGTGAAAGAAAAGAAGTGCACGTGTACGCGCAAAGTTGGCGACTTGCAAAAGGGAGGGTATGCTTTAACACTGCACGGAAACGTTCACTAAGGTGCCGCAAAAAGATACGACAAAAGCTGTGGCAATTTTTTTGGTGGACGCCCCGCCAGCTCTCGTACCTACTTTAGGCACTTTACACGCCCGCCCCGTACTCGGCGCGATACATACACTTTACGTAAACACCGCATGTGGGTCGACAAATGCCAACATATGCATAACACAATTAAAACGGGAAAATATACGTGCCATGTGTTCGCGCGCACGGTAAACACAAGGAACTAGGGAAAAAAACAAAACACAGTTAAGTGATGCAAAATAATTGCAGGATGCTTTATGCGGGCTCGTCAGTAAGTAAAATCGACTGACGAAAAATTCTACATTTAAAAAAAAAAAAAAAAAAAAATGAAAAAGGTCAACGCGTAAAAAGTGTGCAAAGCTTGCCACTTCCCCACGGAATATCATTTCCAACCGGAGCTATACTTTCCTATACGCTTCCTTTCGCGTTATGGCACTTTGGAATGTTCTACACTACTGAATGGCGCGATTTTGAGTATGTGAAAAAAGAACAAAACAACAAAAAAAAAGCTGTTAGTGGAGTAATGCTATACATGTTTTTTTTTTTTTTTCTCGTATGTACTTAAATAAATATAATTTTTTTTTTTTTTTTTTTTTTGTTTCCTTATGGTGAGCACATATACATGTAAGGGGGGGGGAAAAAAAAAGCAATAATGACGAAACGAACACCATGCTGATGCAGAAGGGGCCAAGGCTCTGATTCTGCACAACGGGGCTTTCAAAGAAAAAAAAAGAAAATGGTTAAGACAGAGGGGGTGGGGAGAAAAAACGAGGCTCGCCCACGAAGAGGCAAAGGTACATGTACATATATATATGTGCGGGACTAAGCACGTTAGTGCGAAGGCGTGTAACACTCAAACACAAATATTTAATTGCGCATATTTTACCAGTATGCACTGGCACACTTATGTTTAAAATACACCTTTCTCGAAGTGCTTAAGCTCGGTGTGCTCTCGTCGAACATGGTGAACATGTCCGTAATGCCCAAGCACCGTGCAATGCACACCAAAACGAAGCAACGGAAATACGCAAAAATTGGTTAACGCTATATTGTACGTTTCTTCGCAGAAGTGGCGTGCTCTTCCTTTCACACATTTATGCAACGGAAATCGCCTTTTAAAAGTGGGTCTATCCAGACGTATTCTTCAATTTGTACACTTCGTGAGTACTGCGCTGGTCACTTTGGTGACCGTTTCGATGTGCGCTCATTGTTTAACGAGCACATCAGCTGGTGCATTCATCCTTTCACGTCATGTAGAAACAAATTTATGTACTGTTCAGACAGTTCTTAACCGACGGTCATATATCTAGCCGTAATGTTCATACTTTTTGGAAAAAAAAAAAAAAAAAAACCACACACACACACACGCATATTTGTCCTGTGGCACATTTTTGTATGAACAATTTATTATTTTTTTTTTTTTGGTGCGGGCTTTGTATGTGTATAAAAAAAAAAAAAAAAAAAAGTTGTAGCTACTTCACCTTCGCTACCTGCCTTTTGTGCGTTTTCCCCACACACTCCAAATGCTTTAATTATTTTTTTTTTTTTTTTACCCCCTTTTGCTCATTCGTTTGGACAAATTCGCCTTTTCATCGCCTATATACGGTGTAGCGAAATTCTCATTTTAAGATCTAACCCAACGGGTGCCTCGTTTTCCCCGCGACATGCCCACATGGCACCATCACTCTACAACGCGTTAACGTTTTGCACATTTTGAAACTCGCCCATATACCTTTGGCCACGTGAGCATATGCGCCCGTTGCGCACAGCCTGATTAAGCTTTTGTACAAGCTACCAAGGGGGCATTCAACAAAAGGTAGTAATTTGATTCGCCCGTTTAATTCTACATTTTCCCATTTTGCGCAAATGACACAACTGCGCAGAGATGGCTTGAAAACACACGAGGATGACCCTTTTTCTGGTAAACTTCTGTAAACCCTCTACATCTCTGTGCATGTTGCATTCACAAAAGGGGGGCAAAAAAAAAAAAGAAAAAAAAACCTAGACCAACGTGTGTGCAAAAATGGAGAAAATGATACCCCCTCAATGCATATGGCCCCTTTACGTTCTAAAATAACTTTTGGTGAGATCCAAATGGAGAATACGCCAACAGGACCGGGGGGAGGTAGAAAAAAGTATGCGAAAAGGAGTTACGTATAGCCTATCCATTATAGCAACCTATGGGGAGGCGCCCGTTTGCCAAAGCAACGCTTCAGTTACATCTGATCGAAAGCGAACGCCTAGCGCTAGAAAAAAACTGTACAAAAAATTGACTCGTTCTAATGATGGCGGCAAACATAATCGTTGAGACTCCCCTGGGTTTGAAATAGGAATATATGTATTCCCACATGGAAGCAGCGTGTAACGGAGTGGAAGCTCACGAAAACTGAACATCATCAATGTACGTCCCTAGTGTAGTAAAAGGAGCTTAGTGCTTCCGAATGAGAGGCACTGAGTAAAAGATACAGCTTTACTTTCACGCATGTAACATTTTTCCGTTCACCACAAATCTGTGCTTTACGCTACTTGCCTCTACACCACAGTGGGAGGTAAATATTTTCACGCCCGGTCGATTATAGCCATTCAAATACAATGTATACATGTAGAAAAAGCTCCGTTGCGCAGTGCAGGTTCCCGGACCGCGTTAGGTATGTGCCCCTCGAACTGGTTCAGCTCCCGTTGGGTGCAACATTGCGAGGAAAAAAAAAAAAAAAAAAATAGTGGAAAAAAAAAGAGAGAAAAAAAAAAAAGGAGAACAAAATAGTAGGTATACATTCGTACAAACAATCTTATACACGTACGTGCACTTCCGTGTAGGTAACGCAAACTCGGCTCGGAAATTCCGAAAGGTCATTTTCGATGCGGAGAACGAGTTGCATGCCCCGTTAGAAAGGCGGCCCGCAGCAAAGTCTGGTTATCATCTGTCGGATTCGACGTAGCACGTGCGTAAAGGCGTAGTTACGTGTCACGTATACGCCACGTACAAGTTGTGCACATGCCGCTTACCTACCGTGTGGCACCTCGTACGCGATAGACGAACGAAGAAGGGAAAATGACGCGGAATGGTAATTCCCCCATTTCCCAGCCCCGAAGAAGCGAAGCGTAACGCGTAGTTATAGAATTCCGTTTGTGAGCCGTCCAGGGAATGCGCAAACAGGTTAATGCGAAAACGTATAGGAGACTAGGTGCGCAAGTCGGCGTAGGCCTGTACCACCAGGAGTACACTACCCCATGCGTGTACCTTGACGCATGCGCGTAGGTATATAATCCTCCCCACCGCAACGCCATATGGTCAGGCATATGCAAACGGAAGATTGGCACACCCGGAGTAGCTTCCCCCCCTTTTTTTTGGTTTTCATTTGTTTTGTAAAACGAGCACGACGAATAACCGAGGGAAACCTCACGCGTTGTCTCCCCTGATGGTTAGCGGAAGGAAGCCAGGACAATGAACCATCTGTTCTGTTGGACGCAATTTCGTTGATCCTCCGTGGTCGAGAATCGGTGCTCTCCCGCGAGCGCGAACCTACTCCCACTCCGCACATGTGAACCTTCCAATCATGAACCACACATTTACCTTTGAAACAAATCTGAACGACATATTCGCTGGAGATGATATCGCCAAGTCTAACAAGAGTTGCGACTACTGCCTGAAGCGGAAGCGCGTGTGCAGGTGCGACACCATCAGGAGGGAGCTGGGCAGGTAGGGTTAACGAGAGATCGGTGCTGAGGTGTGCGGTGCATGCATTGCACGGGGTACCCGCAGATGACGCGTTTGCACGTTGTGTCATGTGAACAGTTCATCGCTTCGCTGAAGCGGGCACAGCGTGTTGCTCTTCATTTGCCCCCCCATTTTACGACTGCCATTTTTCTGTCCATTTTTGGACCCCCCCTTCGCAGCGAGGACGCAACGGAGATAACGGAGCTGCAGGAGCGGAAAAGGTACTACGACGAAATCTGCGACAAGATTGTGGACAAGTACAAAGATGTGGTGAACCGGTTCGAGTACGACAAGGACATCGTGTCCTACATAAAGAAAAATAAAATTAATGATGAGGTTGAATGCGAAGACTGGATTTATTTTTACGAGCTTCTGAAGGAGAGAAAGATAGTGGAAAGGTGCCTCGACACGAAACAGAGCAGGGAACCGTTAACCTTGAACAGCTTTCATTTTGACGAGGAAGCCAATTTTATAAGCTGCCTAAATTACTACCTCAAGGTTCACAAGCTCCACCACGTGATTCACAATTGGATGGGCATGAGTGTGAACCCCTTCGACGAGTACGCGTCGGGGGAGGAACACCACGCTGGAATTGGTAATGGTGGTGATGGGAGCGATGGAGGTGTGTGTTCCTATGAACAGGTGAATGCAAAGAGGGAGCGCCAATCCGGGCCCACCCGCGTAGGACAAACGGACGGGCAGGATAACACCGGGATGCATGTAGCAACACCGATAATAGTAGAGAAAGGGAAAAAATTTCACCCCCTTTATTACTACCTCTACATGCAAGAAAATGAGAGGTGGATTTCAGGTATGAACAACTCGGGTAGCATTCTGCATCCGGAAACTATAAGTCACGTGTGGAATCAAACAGTGAGAGAGAGCAACAAAAAGGTGAAGCTGTTCCAATTGATAACAGCCAATAGTGTAAGCACAGATGACCTGATGGACGATTATTGTAAAAAGGAAAAGAGAAATGAACAGATGGTGGAGCAGAAGAATCATGTTGGAAGAATTAGAAGCATAAGTCAGCTTGTGTGTGGTTTGGGCATGGTAGATATTGGAGGATGTTTCATTATGAAAATAAAATTATCGTTTGACGATTTTCTTCTGTCCATTTTCTCCATCCTTGCTATATGCTTTAAGAAGCTTGAGGTGTACAGACCCTCCTGTTGCCACTTACGCAATGTGGTTTTTTTAATAGGTATACATTTTAATGGGATCACATCTATCTTTTTGTCCAGCTTGAATAATTGGGTGGAGGGAGCACAGAGGGAGATTGCTTCTGTCGTGGTCAGGGGGGAAGGTAATCAGCTAGGTGGGTTAAGGGAAGTCATTTCAGAGGAGTGTATGACTGGAGTGAAAAAGGGAGGAAGAAGTATCATCCCGAGAAAGTGGATCAAGAAAAGTTTCTTTAGAGAATACCAGAACTGCATTCATCATTTTGTGGACTACCTAATTTACTACCTTAAAAAATGTATAAATGTTTCCAACACGAATTTAATGAAGAAGAATATCGAGAACACCAAGAGGATGTACGTTTCGCAATTCTTTGAGGAGCACCGACTTGTGGACATTAGGAAGAAGGACAAGCTGCTCTTCAGACTGCTCGACGATTTGTACTTGGACCAGGCCAGGATCATCCCCCGTATGTGCGAAGCGGGTCGTGCGTACGACGCGGATCGTTCGTACGAAGCGGACCGCGCAGATGAACTGCATCATGTGGACGAGACGGATGTACAGCGTGAGGGGGATAGCGCAGGGGCACCATTTTCAAAGAAGGAGTTACAAAAATTGAGGGCCAGTTTACACATCCCTCCACAAGCAGGAAGAGAGAGACGAGGGGGCATCTTCTTCGAAGGTACGGGCGAATTGAACGACACCAGTGCGAATGAAGGAAATGGTGTGTTTGGAAACCGTCAGGGCAACGTGCACAAGTATCGCAAACAAATCACTGCCCTCTTGAGGAGAATCGACTTTAAGGGAGACAAAGCATCATCTCGTAAGAGGAGAGATAGCAGAATGAACCGCGTTGATGGTACCTCCCGTGGTCTCTTCCAGCTGGACGAAGACCTAATCCGTAAGAGAGTCTTTTCAGTAGATAAAACTCTGCTGGAAAAGCATGAAACAGAATTCGAGGGTCTCCTAAAGAAGCAAGCCTACTTCACGAACAAAAACTGGTTCAGGTGTTACCTTCACAAGGAAGCGTGTAAATTTGAAAATCCCTTTTATTTAGAGAAGGATTTGTACAAGGACATATTACTTTGCAGGAAGCACATCTACTACAACAAGTGCGATGTGGGTATGAACAGTTTAAAGCAGGTTCTGAAGAGGTACGAACCCGTGTGCTCATCGTACGTGATGGATGGACACGAGCTCTGCTGCAGCGTCATTGACTGCCTCTTTGTTTTGAGGAATTGTGCCCACGTGGATCTGACTGAAGACTCGTCATTACTGCGAAACTTTTTAGTCATCAGTGGGGATACCTCATCCAGCGTCTTCTCCTTCTTTTCCAAGTTTGGGTCTGGTTGTCGCGTCCTGCTGCAGGGGTGGGACGGTGACGTCAGCAATGGCGTAAATGGCATCTCAGGCGATAGCCCCAGTACAGGTGAGAGTCTCCCCGCTGTGCCCAATTTCGAGCGCTACGTCGTTACGTCGTTACGTCTCTACATCGCTACATCACTACATCGCTACCTCGTGACGTGTGTAATTTGTTACATCTGTTTCTCCCCCCTTCAGACCCCCGAGACGCGAGTGCCCCCCTAAACGTGCAAGAGCTGTACGAAAGGAAAACGCCCTACAAGTACTTCAGTGAAATGCTGAAGGACAAACTGGGAGACAAAAGCGTTTGCTCCTTCGTGTTCATTGACCTGAACACACAGCTGTTTCAAAACTATGTTCATGTGGTTGAAAAGGAAATAACAACGAAGAATTATTTCGTTGCGAGCTTAATCATATGCTTCAATTATTTGCAGAAGGGGGGTGGTTTGATTATTCATTTGAGCAGCGCCATGACGTTTTTCACAGCCGGTTTGCTCTACGTGTTAGTGTGTGCATTTGAGAGGGTTGACCTCTTTCTGCCCCCCTCCTGTGACGACATCGACTTGGGTTTTTATATATATTGTTATAACTTTGGTGAGAACTACGTGTACCGACACTACGTGCAGTTCATGTGGGAAGCACTCATATGTAATCAGCACCTAGAACAGAAGGTATCTGGTGGTACCATCAACGTTGCGGTCACACCAGGGGAAGATAGTACGAAGAGGAGGAAGAAGAAAAAGGGAGATGTGTATATGTCAGTTCCCCTATTCTTTCTCATGAACAAACACTTTGTTAATCTGCTAAAGCGATTTAACTTTTTTTACTTTTCCCACCACATAAATGTGTGCATGCAATATTTAAAGGAGCCAAAATATTTCTACCATAATAGGACGTTAATCAAATGTCTAATTACTCATTTTTTTCGAGCCTATGTTTTGCCTCAGGAGGTGGGCAGATCCTTTGGCCGGGTCTTCAAATCGGTTAGCATTCACTGTGACGACGATGGTAGTGACCTACTTGATGAGAGTGCAGATGATGAGGACAACACGTTTGGAAGTGATCACCTACCGACGGGAGATGAAGTGGAGAGTGACTTGTCCAGCCTGGATCTGTCCGACCACGGTGAGGAAGTCCAAGGGGGCGCTGCTTCCCCTGAGAGGAACAAGAGGAAGAAGCAAAAAATCAGGAGCGCCACCAGCACCAGTCGTAGTCCCAGCCGAAGTGGTAGTGGTGATGCGTACAGGCAGCGGGTGGCCAACGAGGAAAGCGACTTGGACCGCTCCTCCAGTGAATCAAATTACTCCTTAGCCTTTGAGTACAAAAATGTACCCAGCGAAATATCCGTGTCGGAGACGGCCTGGGGCGACAGCTCGTAGGGCGCGTCCCCGACAAGCACTCGCACGTGCACAAGTGCATAGTGCAGCGGAGAAGTGCGTAGCACGGTGCAAACATGCATAACGCAGCGGAGCGCCGTAGGGAGGGTAACATTTTACCTCAGTACGAACCGAATGCCTTCCCATATTATATTCACCACGTTGTTTCTTTTCCTCCTCTATATGAATTGATCAAAACACATCAGTGTCATGTGTATCTCTCCGCTTCACCAGTGTGGTTTACTTCCATTTGTGCTTATCCCGCGCGAGGCCTACCTTCCACGCGCTGGGCACATTGTGCCGTAGAACCACCACCCGTAAAGAGAGACCTCTTTTTTTTTTTTTTTTTTTTTTAACCTGACAAAGGACTCATTTTATAGCGGTCCACCTGATTAGGACCAATTGTATCTCCTGGGCAAAGGTGTGTGTGTGTGTGTATATATGTGTCGTTGGCCCCACAAATGTCGCTGCTTTTAATGTAAAAAGGGTGTAGAGAAGAAATATATATATATTCGCTTGTGTTTCCAAAATGGGGAGTTGCCCCTTACGCATTCTTTATCCGCTGCTGCTACGCTGTGAAGGTTTCGTGGGGCACAAACTGAACCTTTCACGACGATGCGCATTGTGGATTGGGAAAGAAGATGGTTCATTTTGCCCAACGGAAAAAAAGGAGCTATGCTCAGTCCGCACTGTTGCCCCGTTCCACCTTTTATTTTAATTTTTTTTTTTTTTTTCCACAATGGTTAAATTTTTTTTTAAAGATGAAGCCAGCTAGCTAATTGCATCCTGAACGGGCTTGCGAGTGTAGTCCACTTTAAAAAAAAAAAAAAATCTAAACTAGTGCCAAGAGCAGTTTCATCCCGCACTTGGTGGTCAGCCTGATTAGGCGCATCACTTCGTAATCACCAACACCGATGCTCCGCTTCGCTGCTAAGGGTTACGCGCTTGTCCCATGGTTGTGGCACTCGGGAAACTGCTTCTGCGTGGCAATAGAAGATGGCCGAGTGGTGTGCCCCCACTTGACAAAGGCGGGAGTGTTGCCGGTGGGAGCATCGGCGACGTGGGAGATGTGCAGAACATGATAGACCCTCCGTTACGACAGGACGAGGATTACCCATCGTATGTGCAACCAGATGAGAAGAGCAGCTACGTAAGGTGGGCCGAAAGCTGGCAAAACCCAAATGTAAAGGGCAGTGAAGAAAAAGAAAAAAGAGGTTACTATGGCACCTACCCAGTTAGCGATAACCCCGCATACACAGTGCCCTACAGATATAAAGTGGTTATTCCTACGCGGCGCAAAAAGGTGAAAGGGATTTCAGATGCGAATGAGCAAAAGAGGGGAGAGAAAAGCAAAGGAGAACCCAATGACCCTGCGGAAAACATAAAAGAGGAGTACAGTCGAGATGTGAGCAACCAGCTTAGTTACTCCGATTTCGTAGGGTTCAGAAATCCAACCCTAGAGACAATGGACAACTACAGATACTGGCAAGATACTGGATTCAAAAAATTTCTGCATCGAACCTTCCCCATAAAATTACCTGAACATAAAACATTGAACCCTGTATTTAGAGAGTACATTTACTTTCTTCATTCCTTGGACCCGTTTCGTTTTTCTGTGAAGAAGCTGAGTGAGAGATACTTCCTCTCACAAAAGTGTATCCAATCCATTTACAAGGAGGAAAGTGTGAAGCGATTCCTTAAAGAAAATGACCTCTGTGATGAAAAGACAAAACGAATTAGCAAAAACGAAGCCGTGTTAAAAATTAAAGAATTAATATATGCACAAAAATTAGGGTACAAAGATATTGGTGATTTTGAAAATGTAAAAAATGAAGACGACCAATTCCAGGGACATAAAAACACCTTCGATGTTATCAACAGGCAGGTTATTCAGGTGGAGTCCATTTCTGCCTTTCCATTACCGGACCGGCGGGACCCCGTGCCTAAGCGTGTGGACGTAGATATCCCGGTGGGCAACTCTGCAAATGTAAAAATTATGAATTGGGTCAACCCTAACGATAAGGTCGTTTTTTAATCGGCGCCATCATCAACGAATGCCATTTTACAGAGGATTGCCCTCGCGTCCTTTTCTGCGCCAAGTGGACATTTTTTTCATCTTTGCGCGCCGCACACCCCACCCAGCGGCAGATTTGTTCTTTTTTTTTTTTTTTTTTTTTTGGTGCAAATTGTTGTGCGTCTTTTGCGCATGCGCGTGGTTAGTAGTGTTGAGATGAACGTTAATGGGAACGTTAAAATGAGATAATGAATGGACCACGTTGTGACACCTCTGAATGGCTGCAGAACTATTTTGCATGTATTGCATACCCACGCGCATTACCGGGTGCCGCAAACGAATGCCCATTTTTTGACGTGGACACATGATAAAAAAAAAAAAAAAAAAAAAATTTCACCTTTTGTTTTTCCGTACCCCCCAGTGGCACACACAAAAAAAAAAACCATTATCCATATAATATTTTTATTGTCTTTGTTTTTGCCCATTTGAGGGTATTTCGCTCTCATTTGTATCGGAGGCTGAGGGCATCCTCGATTTATTTCAGGTGTGCATGTTGGAGGTGGGGGGGACCACGCGGCGTTGAGGCGGTCTCACAGGTGTGTGCGGAAAAGAACATACAATAGTGGGTTCATTTCGCCATTTCGTTTATTCCTCTTTTTTTCCTGTCTTTTTTTTTTTTTTTTGCCTACCAACTGGTCATCCCCACACTCACACTGACGCAGACCGTAGGATGAAGCTGCCGTTCGGAATTGTCCTGTCGGTTATGCTCCTCCTGGGGCTAATCTGCGCAAAGGATAACCCCACCAAAGTGATCACGAAAGATAAGTACCGAAATAAATTTCGTAAACATCACAAGATACCCACCTTAAGTAACGACGCGGATCGAAATTTCCTTCAGATGAAGTCTGCGCATATTTACAACCCGTCCTTAGCGTACAGAGGTTCGTCCTTTGCATGGTGCCTCCCCTCCCTTTCCCCTTTTTTTGGGGGCAGCTAATCCGGATTGCTACAGCCGAAGCACCGTGTAAAAAAAAAGTAATTGTTATACAAATGTGCATGCTTTTACCCTTTTTGTATGCTCACTTGCACATCCCCCACATGCTTACGCGCATTTCTCCTCCCGCAGACCTATTCGATAACAACGCAATGGGAACCTCCACCATTTATTACAACCGCCTCATGTGGGGGGCCATTATCTTCCTGATCATGTTCATACTGGTGAGCACCATAGGGGTGTTTCTGTACGTAAACAACTTGGAGAACAGCGCGCCGAAGAAGAGGCATGTGAAGAACGCCACAAACTACTATGTCGTCAATCCGATCGTGCCCTACGCTTAGGGTGTTAATCGGGGTGGAGCAAACCTAAGTGCAGTTGGACACAAGCGGAGGGTCACCAACGATGTTTTTCCCTCTGTTGTGTAATATGTCAAACATTGAAGAAGATTTTTTTTTTTTCTTTTTTTTTTTTTTTTTCCCTCTTGAATGTGATTACGAGAAAACTTTTTTGGAGAACATTCCCCCTTTGCGGGATGAATTAGAAAAAAAAAAAAAAAAAAACTGTGACACCTGTGACTGATTCTTCCAATGGGCAGTTCAATCTGTGCTTAAAAATTATGCATCCCACGAAGGGCATGCATTTTCCGTTTTTCCTCCTTGAAGGATGTCATTGTGGAGGAACGGGTCGAGAGAAACGTCTCCTAACTTGGACTAGCACTTTTATCTACCAATGCGTGGACAGGAATGGCCTACCATCAAAACGTCCTTTGTGGTCACAAAACTTTGTGAGGTACCCTTGCTGATATTATTCTTGTCGAAGTGGCCCCCACCACCCCCGCACCTGATGAGGTTCCTTTCTCTTCACCCAATCACGATTCTCCTCTTTTCCGTGTATGGTTGACCGTGGTGAGGTGCACACACTGCAGAGGAAGGGAGTAGCGGTTAGCCCATCCGCGTTAAAACAAAAAAAAAAAAAAGAACCTGCCTTCACCACACACACGCATGCAGGCACACAATGACTTGGCTCACATGTTTCCGTTTTTCGCGCACAGGACCGTTCGCAACTAATTTGATTCTCTTCCCCTTAAGTGTGTGTTTTTTTTTTTTTTTTTCCTATCCCATGTGTATATATTTAGCTAGTTGTTCATATTTTTTTTTTTTTTTTTTTTTTCTGCTAGCGATTTTACCCATTTTTCGGTGTGTAAAAAAAGATTGCTTTGTCGCGTAGTTATTTTGTTCCATCTGGGGGAATCGAATCACCACGCGTGTAATCGCTGCCAGTAATCCCACCTTGTCATTTGTTTGTTGCACCGCGGATTGCATGTCCCGCCTGTGCTCTGTCGAAAAAAGAAATTGCCGCAGGGAGAACGGAAGCGCGTTGGGGGAACCACCCTAGGGGAAAAAAAAAAAAAAAAAAAAAAAGGCGTGGATCGGGGGAACCTAAAAAAAAGGCGCAAAAGAGGCAGCGATAGAGTAAGAACAGAACGCAGGGGAAATCAAGTGGATAAACCCTAGAGGAATGAACCAACCCATAGAAACCATCCCGGAAATGGGACACCGATGTCACCATCGCCAGTTTCACCCAGCGTGACGCACCCCGCAAAAGGCAGTTCCAAATTTTCTCCTGTGAAATTTTGTCCCCATCTGGGAATTCACACTCTCCTAATAAACCACCACCACTATCTCTTTTTAAACAATCATTTTGGGTAACAACGGTTTACAAGATGACTAGCGAAGGAGGTAGGAAAAAAAAAAAAAAAAAAAAAAAAAAAAAAAACATTTCACTACACTCTTCTGTTAATATGCACACCATATCCCCCCCAAACCCTACACACACACACACAACTGCAGCTGTCAAATTGAAGGACAACCAATGGGATGTGTCCAACTACAAGAATGAAAAATTAGTTACACTGGACCAAGTACAAGTAAACAATGCAGTGAACATATATCACTGTGAAGGAACCACATTCGTAATTGAAAATGATAAATTCAAATCGCTTGCTATGCACAAGTGTGTCAAGTGTAACGTCGTTTTAAAAAACCTAATTTCATCCATTGAAATAATTAGTTCGAATAAAGTCAAGGTACAGGTCCTGGGTAATTGCTCTTCCTTTTCGATTGACAAATCTCAGGGAGTGCAATTTTATTTGTCCAAGCAAAACACAGAGTCCGAGTTTACCACAGCACTGTCATCCGAAATGAACATTCATCTTGAAAATGAAAATGGAGAGTGGACAGAAATTGCAATTCCGGAGCAGTACCAACATCGCCTAGAAAATGGAAAGCTCCGGACAAGAGTATCAGATCTGTACAAATTTTAAAATGGTCAAACACAGTGCATTTTCAGATTAACCCCACCAGTTGGTGACTTGCACAAAAAAGAGGGGGGGGGGGGGGCGAAGCATAATATATCACTCGAAGTTATCCCACTATTATTTTTTATTTATTTATTTTTATTATTTATTTTTTTTTTTTATTCATTTGTCCATACACATCTGGTCTTCTTTCCTTCCCTTTTTATGCCTCGTGCATGTGCCTAGTTTCCTCACACCCCCTTAACCATCCTCCATAACCGGTTGCGAATTGTCCCTGTTTCTCATTGTTGCACATTTTGTGTCACTAACATTTGACCCTTCCTACGGGTGGACTTTTGTGGACTTTTGTGGACTTATAATGCAGGAGGCCAAAAAGGCATCACTATGTCAACACGGTGATTAGATTAGTAACAAAAAGGAGAAAAAAAAAAAAAAAAAACGGTTTGAAGGAAGCTTTTTTCCTCCAATTCAAGCTGGAACTCCCTGAATTGGTGAGGTTTTTCCTCATATGCCTTGTGGAGCAAAACGTGTTCGTCATCGTGACAACATTTTTTTATTTTTTTTTCCTGTTATATATTGTGTGCTTACAAGGTTATCTTATCACACCTGTGCAGAATGGAGGATATTTTATAGAGGGTCATATCTCAGGGACGAATGCTTACATCATTCGCGTAACCCACCTCGGTACACATGCGTTCCTCCCGCCCCCCTATAGAGGGTCCATCCCACTTGCTTGTCACAAAATAACGTAGCGCAATTATATGTCAACGGGGGGCCATGTTCGAAGCGGCTTCACCTGAATGTTACCCCACCTCCGGAAGAGAAACGCACCTTTCTTTCTCCCTCAAATATGCAAAAAAAAAAAAATAATAATAATAATAAATAAATAAATAAATATAAAAGAAACTACAAAAAAAAATAGAAGAAAAAAAAAAGTCAATCTCTACACAATATTAGAACCACGTGACCACCAAATGGTAAATCCAAAGTGATATAGTAAACAAAAGGCTAGCAGCCCGTGCGGAAAGCGACCGAGCATATACGTTTTTCTTTCAGTTTCCACGTTAGAGGAGTTTTATCCCCGAGTGTTCAACGCGGTCAAGAGGGGGAAAAAAAAAAAAAATACCTGTTGTTCCGAACGCGCATGTGCAGGCGGGCAGTTAGAAAAAATTGCATACCTGGGCAGAAACGCCGCACAAGCTAAAATTGCACCTTCCACATTAGGAAAAACGCCTTACAACTTTATACCGTGCTGCCTACTGTGAAAAATGCGAATTTTGAAGAAGGCCGTTAACCGATGGGGCTTGGCGGTGGCACCGCCCCCCCTAGGAAGCAGGAAGGTGTGTTGCCTCCCCGGTGTGCACAAGGCATTGGGCAGCGTAGGCAGCATAGGTAACAGCGGCAACATGATCACCAACAGTGGACCGGTGAACAGTGCCAACCCATTCGAGGGGAAGCGAAATATGGCCAGCAGTACGAGCGTGTCCTACGCGAAGGACAATCAAACGGAAGAACAAATGAGCAACGATGAAATCATCAAATTTTTTGAAGAAAATAAAAATATGAACATAGACAAGCTGTATAACATGGTGAAAAATTTAAGTAGAAAAAAAATGGAGGAAAGAAAAAAAATTGTGGAGGATGACAAATTTATCAGCATCCTTGAAGAAATTGAAAACAGAATAAGCATAATGAACACGAGGTATTTGTGCAATTTCTCCCTACGGTTGGCCAGCCTGTCGATCAACAATGATGATATAAAAAAATTATTGACCAAAATAAGTGACCAGGTTTTAAAAAAAATGAATGTGAATCCTCGAGACATGGTTGGAATATGTTTTGCGTTAAGTCTGTGCAACAATGTCAATGAGTATTTTTTTGAACATGTAAAAAAGGAAACCATTTCTAACATCGATGCGTACACTCCGACTTTGCTAACACAGTTACTGGAGAGTATGAGGCTGTCCCAGAATTTGGACATTGAGTTAACCAATTTGATCATCGAGAAAATGTGTGAAGAAATTGATCGCTTTACAACAAAAGACGTGACACTCGCATTGAAGACGTTGTCCATGGCTGGTATCCCCCGAGGTTTTCTCATCAGACGTTTATGCAATCTCGTATTTGACAATATATCTCATTTTCATCATTCTGCATTGGTAAATATTTTATACAATTTAACCAAACTGAAATTCACTACGACAAATCATATTGATGTGATTTACAAAAATGTAGAAGAACATTTGGAAGATTGTAACGTCACGACGCTGTGTGAATTGCTGTACACTTTTTACATGAACGAAATAAATGAAGAAAATAAAATTCGCAAAATTTTTGATCATATAAATTATGACCATTTTAATACAACAAAAACGGCTGTCATTATCGATTTTGTGCATGCTGCTACGTATTACAAGAATTATGTGGATCGGGAAAAGTTAACCAAATTAATTAACTTGCTGTTCGAGCGCAATGTGCCCAAGTCACTCACACTCATTGCCAAGATAAGGGAACCCATTTATTTTCTTGCAGGGGATGAACAATTTATGTTCGATTTGAACAATGTGTCCCCCTCGTGGCTAAATGCCATGAATGACTTCCTCCGAATTGATCACGAAAAACTGCAAGCGTTGAAAACATTTCATGAAGTACAAAATGTGCTAAATACAATTGCGCCAAATTTTAAGTTAAATTTTGTTCCCCTACAAATTGTCAATTCCTTCTCAGTGGACTTTATCGAAAATGAAAAAAAAATCATCATCGATTTGGACACCATTGTCAGGCATACATCCTTCCAAATGAAACACAAGCACTTTGAAAAATTGGGATATAAAACTGCCAAAATTCACTTTTGGAAATGGAGAAAATGTAGATCGGAAAAAGAACAACAGAACTATTTGTCTGACATCATTTACTCTGTCACCGATAGACGGGCAAGCGCCACAGAGGAGCCCGCCGGAGAAAGTGCCGAGGAAAAAAAAATCAGCGCTGCACAGGCGTGACTGTACAGGATACTATATAGGGTTATACCCCGCGCGTGTACACAACACACACATCACACGCGGGCGAAAATAACCCCTCTATGTTGCCTTATCCATGGTTAAGCAAATACTCCCAACAAGGGGGAAAACCCAATGTTATCTCACATCCTGTTCTGTAATGGGCCTTCTTCATGGTTTTACCACACAATGCGCAACCTTCTTTGCGCTGTCGGAAAAAAAACAAATATACCTTACTTGTTAAGGCAAAAATTTTACCTTATGCTCCTGTCCAGGTAGCTATTTTTTTTAATTTTTTTTTTTTTTTTGGACTAACCAAAATGTTATGAACAGTTCGTGCAACTGTTTGGAAAAAAAAAAAAAAACACAAATGCATTTACGCAGTAGTACACAGCGGAGGAATAAATGATTGGAGCTAAACAACGCCCCCCTTGTCGCCCCCGTCTTGCACGTCGCTCTTCTCGCAGCTGAAAGGCCAACTCTGCGAAAAGGAATAGTCCGTCAGCTCTGGCTTCCTGTACTTAAATCTGCTGGTCTCGTTGAAAATTTTAAAGTACTCCAACACCTTTACATAATTCGTGGGCTTATCTATTGCTTCCGCCTGGTTGATGGACGACAGACATTGCAAATACCGCGTGCCTTCTATTCTGCACTTGGAAAAGGTGTGCGGATACTTCCTCAAGCAGTTGATAAATTTCCCCCATAAACTATCACACGGATTTTTCTCAAACTTCCTTTGATTTTTTTTCTGAATTTTGTGCAAAATTTCTTTCCCCTGCCACCATTCAATTGGGGGGAAGTGCTTCTGCAGCTTCGCAACTGGAAATAACAACTCGTTATTCCTCTTTTTGCTGCAGCCCATTTATGAGGTGCTCGGGTGGGGGTATAAAATGGCGATATAGCACTCTTAGTGGACACGTGTACACTCACGTGAGTGGCATCAACGTATTGTTAAGACAACCCTCGCGGGAAAAGAACGAATCAACTGTTAAATCCACTTCGTCATGGATCAGCTCATATAGTAACTGTCAAAATGGAAAATTTCCTACTAATCCTGCTTTTACACAATTCTGTTCGCATGCCTTTATGCCAGTCGTGGCCACCTTTGCAGCGCGCACCTAATAGTTATGCTTTCACGTAACGGTTGTGTGCACGTTGCGCGCGTCAACACTAGCTAGTGAAAAACTGCGTGTGTGGCAATTCGATCTACGCTAACCCCCTTTTCGCACAAGAGGGAGAAACTAAATGAATCATACATATCAACGGAGTACTAATCATAGTGTTCAAGCCGACACACGGTCCTCCTTCACAATTTTACATTTTTAAGGCGTTCCACATAAGGCCTTACAACAGCATAGTATGCGTATTACTATACGGTGTTGTCATTTTTTTTTTTTTTTTTGTTATGGGAAAGGTGGAGAAGGCAATATACATTTATACACCAGGCCACTTCGAATTATGTTCGAATTACATGAATTTTTAATTTTTTTTCCACTCCTTTAAAAGAGCCTTTCGGTGATGCTTTAAAATTTTTAACCCCCATTTTGCGTGCACGCACATAAATGTTGGATAGGTGTAAGCATATGGAATAATAGCATTCACCTGTGCAAGAGCGGTACCGTCATGTTTTTTCCCCTTTTTTTCTTTTTTTTTTTGTCGAACCACCCACCTTCTGCTGCACCTATAGCTTTGCGCTTTATCCCGAACGGATACTACTTTGCATGAGAATGGGTAAAGAGATCTTTTAATTAGCCTAATCTGGCGCAAAGTGCAGTAGCCGTGAATGTGCAGTGTGCATACGGGAAGATACGGGCCATGGTCAAAGTAAATATTATGCCTTTTATTTTGTTCAGCCTGTGGTGTCAAGGTAGCTGTTTTCTTTATGCAAATTTTTTTTTTTTTCTGGGTAGCCATTTTGTAAAATTTTTATCCAAAAATGGCTGTTAATTTTTTTTTTTCTTTCTTTTTTTGGATAGCCATTTTGCAGAATTTTACCAAAAAATGTGAACGGCTCATTTAATTTTTCTTTTTTTTTTTTTCGGAATTTGTAAAATATTTGCAAAATTATAAACAGTTAATATATTTTTTTTTTTTTTTTTAATAAATAATTTATATTTTTTTTTGAAAAATATGAACTGTTCATATTAAATTTTTTTTTTTTTTTTTTTTTTTTTTTTTTGAATATGATGCAACCATATGGGGGCCGCAGTTTATAGAGCTTTTTTTTGAAAAGGAAAAATGACGAGAAGGTGAAGTGAAGGCCTAGTGTTAGCACAATGGAACAAAGATGAAGAACTGCTGGAAAGATGGTATATTTAAAAGTGGGGTGAGCCCCCCCCACACACACACACCAGCACCACATGTTAAACGGTGCCATGGAGGAGCTCTCAAAGGATGAGGAAAGCATATTATGGCAAGTGTAAAGAGTCACTTTGGCGAAGAAGGCGACCCCTCAAGTTGGGGCAAGATTTTCCGGGGATGTGCAGCAGTTGCGGCCGAACGGAGATAGGAAAAAGGTGTGTAAAAGGAGAACTTGTATAGCATAGCCAACCCAGTTACTGAGGACGAAGGGAAGAGCGGAAGAACGAGGAGAGGACCCGCGCACGATTGCATAAACCCCGCGACGCGGACCAATTTAACATAATAATGTTACGCGCAGAAAATGTACAGAAAATTTGTTTTCAAATTTTCATTTCATCTGCTGGGAAAGTCCCCGAGATAGGGAATTCTCTATTTAGAGTTGTCCCCTATTAGGAAAGCTAGTAACCTGATAAGTTACGTATCTTATAGTATCCTTGCATGGAAAGCTATTTTAGCAACCTGTCCAAGGCATGTGAAATGGAGAGTTAAATGTAACATGTGCTGCCGTCGGTGGCATAACGGAATGGGGCTTATACATATGTTAAATTCCCGCGTCGCGCCGTGTCTGCCTGCGAGTGTGCGCGCGCAGGGCTGCGTTTCCCCTGCAGGTTGGTCGGCAACATAGCTGCATAACGGCTTAGTTGCGTGACCGTTTAGCTGGTTAATTTTTGTTGACCTCTTTTCGGTAACTACAACGCAGCGTCTGCTTTTTTTTTTTTTTTTTAGTGTTTCATTTTACACCCATGTTTACCCCACACACACACAATAACAAACTCCCCGCACTGCAAACTTCGAAACAGTCTGCTGTGCAATTTTAAAAAAACACATTAAAAAAAAATGAGCCCACGAAATGTGAAGGCGTTAATTATAAATGAGAAAGGGCTTCCCACACTGAACATCATCGTCTGTTGTGTCTCTCCGTCATTCTGATGCGCAGTTTTTGTTTTGACTTTCGGCCAACGCCCTATTGAGCCACGCACATGGTCGAGCAAAGATAAAACGCAACGGGTGTCCAATTCCACTTCGAAAGGCTTTTGCCTTATTTTTTACTCTTTCGAAATAGTGAACGGTCCACGGGAAAAAAAAGAAAAGAAAGGAAAGGAAAACTTTAAATTGTATATTAAAAATGTTAAGCTGATAAGGGAAAAATATAAAAACTGTAAATTTTAAAATTTTACAAGAATGATGTAAAAAAAAACAAATAAGCATATGCGAATGTGAAAGAGGGCGTAAATGGAGGTAAAAAGGTTACAACACAAAAGGACGGGAAAAAGGAGAGGGTATACATTAACGGGCGTGCGAGGATGTACAAAATGGATCACAACATGGAGGTGTGGTTTATGCACAAGTTTAACATGCATTTTTTGCATGCATTTTGTATATGCAATTTTTCACGCAATTTTTCAGGCATTTTTACACGCATTTTTTGCACACACTTTTTGCACACACTTTTTGCACACACTTGAGGCGTGCGCCGAGGTTTGCTCTATGACGTGGCCTCCTCCTGGTGAATGTCCTCAATGGCTCGCTCATAGTTTCGCATGTACAAAATGGTGAGGGGGAGGAACATAATGATGAACACGATGACTAGCAACAGTACGACATTGGTGGGGTCGATGCTTTTCCCGTCCGTGCTCAAAATCTGATTGTAAAGATTTTCACACAAAAGAGAAAAGAGACCTCCACAGAGGCTGGCAAAACCAAGAAGCTTTCCAAACACAACGGATGGAAAGGAGTTTTGAATAAAGCAATAAATTTGACTCGTGTAAATACTCGTGACGCACATGTACAGGAAGGCGGAGACCAGTCCAGCTGTTCGGTGCTTGATCAATGCCGTCAAATGCATTATTGCAGAACAGGCATTCATGAGAATAATTATAATCGCCGCTCCATACTTGTTTATAAATCTTCCAAATATAATACAAGGGATGCAGGAAATGGGCATCATTATGTTTATAACATTGATAATGGATAGGTCGTAGCTAAAATAGGTGTCTGTGACCATACCGTAAAAGACTGTGGAAATGTTAAAAATAACAAAATACACAATTATACATATACTTGGGTAGCTTAAGAGGACCTTAAAAAATAGGGTTATGCTTTTTTTGTGGAAGTCTGAACCTTCATGACTTAACGCTTTGGAAGATTTTGTTTCTTGTTTTTTATGAACACCCGACATGGTACTTGCCCCTCCTTTGCTATTCATACTTTTGCGACTTGTTCCACTGGCAAATTTTTCCTTTGCCTTTTGACCATTTTTCAGTGTACTTCCCCACGTAGAGGGTGTTGTATTTGTATGATTTCCATTTCTTCCTTTATAACCCTCTGATGGTTCATTATCGAATGGATGCATCTCCACATCCACTTCATCATTCGTTTGGCTAGTAACTATTCTTGTGTCTCCTCTTCCACGATGGCCATTCCCTTCTATACTGCTCTTCCTGCTTTGCTCTTTTTCCAGGTAGTAATCTAATCCCTTGAAGGGCTTAAGGGGTAGTAGAAAAATGGCCACCAATAAACAAGGTACCAGTATTAAAAATATGTACCCGTAACAAATGTATGGAAATGCAAGAGAAGGGTACTTGCGGCAAATGAAGTTAAGTGTAGCTGGGACGGCGTAACTCAACGACGCAGCTGCTCCCACGACGGTCAGGATGAATGTGGAGGCATCTGGAAACAGATTGGAAATGGTTAAAACTGGGATGAAGGCAGTGTCCGCACCCAACCCTAGAAACACAAAACTGAGGAAAGTTGTATCCACCTTGGTGGTATCAATGGACAATAAAACCCATGATATGATGTTACACGTCTGTCCTATTATGGCTGTAAATTTGGGTCCAATATGATCAAATAAAAAGCCACAAAAAACAGACATGGTAAAATGTATAGCTAGCGTCATTGGGTACAGGCTGTTTATTCGCTTGTACTGAGGGGACAGGGTGATGTCTGGGTACTCTATGGTGTTGAGGCTCTTATACTTTCCCACGCTCAGCAACAAATTGCGAATTGCGCTCCAGTCAAAGTAGATGCAGGCGGAGGTCGCTGTGTATATCACAATGATTACTAGCAGCAGGCATCTGCCTATGTTGAATGGCGTTTTTTGCTGGGCACCCGGTAAATTCGGGTCCGCTTTCAGCTGCAGCCCCTTCAGGCACGCCAGGCACCGGTTCTCCTGTGTGTCCTTCATGGCGGGGCAACTAAATAGGAAGGGTCACAGGGCAAAAGCGTAGTTACAAAGGAAGGATCCACTCTGTGCAGTCACACTACGTTAGTGTTTCCCCACGGTGTCCCTTTTCCCCACCGCACAGCTCGCTCAAACGCCAAGCGTCTACCTCAGCTGTACAAAAGTAACAGGGGTAAGCCGTGCTTACGAGATAATGGCATAAAAAATTGTAACAAGGGAGGTGTAAAAAAAAAAAAAATCTCACACAGCGTTAAAAAAAAAAAAAAAAAAAAAAAAAAAAAAAAAAAAAATTAAATTCAGTCAACGTGCGTCGAATTTGTTCGAATTGATCCCAACTGAGGTGACTTTAAATTGAGTTCACTTCGAACTGAAAGGAAATATAAAGTGGCTTCCCAAAGTTGTGCTTGTTTCATGCACCCTTCGCCCCTTTGAGCCCAAAGGGTAAATCTCCATCGTTCGAATGCATCCCCCCCTAATGGAGCTGTACGGGCCCTCTCCAACGTACGCACTGGTGTGTGGGGGGGGAGAGAGTAAAACACGCGCATGCGGTTTCACCTCTCATTATAATTGCGGCATGCCACTTGCATAGCCAATGGAAGTGTGTTCTCTTCGGCGAATTGTAGCAGCTCGCGGCCCAGTTGCAAACTCCTGTGTGGATTTTTTTTTTTTTTTTTTTTGCCTCGTTGCGGTTCTTTTTTTTTCCCCCTGTTGTGGTCACTTTTTTTGTGGCTTCCCCCTCTTTTGCTTTTTCGCCCTTGTGTACTAGTTTGGATTTTTCTGCTCTTCTTCTCGCCTACATGGCTCGGCCACCATTGGGCTCAAACTCCCTAGGGCGCATGCGCGTCTCGCGTTCCTCTCAGTGGTGTGACAGTTTGTACGATGGGAAGGAAAACAAAAAAAAAAAAAAAAAAAA